TCCGACAGGGAAGGGCACAGATTACAGGGGTAGCTGGGGCACTTGGAGCAGGCCAAGCCAACAAAGGAGTCTGGCAGGTGCTTATGTGGCTGAGCTGTCTCCTCAGCCCTCACAGGGAACTTTACTAAAACTGAATTGACTGAGATTTTGCCTGGCTTACCTGTTGACTGTCATGGTTTATTTGATAATATGAGTCTTCTATTTTAAAGACAAAGTACAATTTATTACTTATAATAATAGCTTTAGATAGAGTATAACCATTTTTGCCCATGATCTCTAAATACCAATTATTCCAGCATAATATATGAACATGCAGTAGAGTATAGAAAAGGAACAAAAAACTAGATATTTCTCAATACAAATAGATCTTTTATTTATTTTTAATTTTAAGGAGAGCAAAACACATACTAATAAGTGACACAGAATTTCAAAGCAAGATGATAGGAAATTAATAATGGTCATTATGTTACATAGAGTTGTCTTCAAAGTAGTTGCTGATTTTCAGATATAGGCTTGCAAAATTATCACATGATCACACACTGTAAAGATTTTCTAAGGATGAATTGATGACCAAGGCTGGACAGCTGGAGTCTCAGGAGACTAAGGTGTCATTTCACTGGCTGTTTTAAGTTGCAATTAATGGTACTTACAAGAATAGGACTGTTACAGACCCCAAGCTCTGATAGGACCACTTCTGCATCAAACTTTCCTTATTGTGACCCCATTGGTTAATCTTGACTTGGCTATAACATAGTGACTTTTTGTGTATAAAAACCCCAAGCCATTGGAGTCTCCTTGGGAACCCTTTTCAAACTCCCTGTCAATTTCATTTCCCTGGAAATTTTTATTTCTATTTTACAATAAGTACTGCTGCTTTCTGCTTTCACTCCATAATAAACTTTTGCTCAGTCGTTTCTTACCTCTGCTTTGTAATTATTTTTGGGCAGAGAGAGAAACCCACCAGCCGGAGGGTAACATTTTCTGTGCCAAACTAACAGGCAGTCTTACAAATCTTCATTATAGATTTCTGAGCTATTACTTAGTGCTAAATATATCATACAAAGGCTTATCAGGAACCATAATTTTAATTACTCTATTTTGTTTAGTGGAATATTATGATAAAATTAGATTATCCATCTGTTAATGTTGTAGAAAGTATCATGCTGTTGTGATATACTGGTATCAATGACCAAACATGATTGATATAAGCTCTTAATAATTTGTGTCTCTTATACTTAAACACAGTTAAAACACAAATTGGAAACTTAAGTCAAAACATGATTTTAAGTGTAAGTCCCTCCTCAACCAAACGTGATCTTGGTGCTCTCTCTCTCTCTCTCTCTCTCTCTCTCTCTCTCTCTCTCTCTCTCCCCCCTAAATATCTGGCATAATATTCAGAAACAATTCTCCATGGCCAATGGCTAATTGCCAGGCAAATATAATTGCTGCAAAAGAAATGATAAATGGTCTTAAAACACTCTCTAGTGGAAACTACCCAATGCATAATGATTTTGGAGCCAAAGAAAAACTAGAGAGTAGAATGGCAGCAGACATCCAATCTAATTATAGGTGTCTTTTTAACCAATGAGAGGAAATTGCAGAAAGATAGATTCTCCTTTGTAATCTATTATCTGTCTCAGATCAAAAGAAGCAGGGTGCTTAAAGAGTTAGACCTCTTCTACAGAGAAATGGAGCGGTGGAATTTGAAAAGACATTGCTCTTGCCTTAATCAGTCAGAAAAGACCATCTGACCTGAGGGGGAAAGAACATTGCCTTCTAAATTGGTGTTCCCAAGGTTTCTCCCTCCCAGTTAGCATTCTGATTTCTAAAACTGCCTTTGTGGGTGGGATTTCAACTTAAGGAATTGCCCCAGAGTAGTGTTCCTGTGTTCAAGGCCAGGCTGAAAGGCAGTGGCATAGGTGGCTTTAGATAGGTTTCCTGGCAAGTGTGACTGGTCCTTGGTTACAGGCACAAAGCCTCTACAGATGAGAGGATAAAATCAATATTCCTTAAAGAAACTATTCAAAGTAAGGTTTCTTTCTTAGAACAAAACTATTAGAAATGTAGAGACAGAAAGAGGATTTTGTGGAGTGGTGGGTAAGCACCAAAGATCTTCTTTGGTGTGATAAAAATATTCTCAAACTGGGTTTTGAGATGGTAGAATAACTACAAATTTACTAAAAAATCATCGAAGTATGCACTCTAAATAGGTGAATTTTATGGTGCATGCATTGTACTTCAATAAAGCAATTAAAATGCTCCGAAGTAACTTGGTACCTATTACCTAAAAACTAATTATGGGTGAATGGCGGTGGAGGAAATGCATTTGTGGAAATGACTTGGCCCCCAAAGCCAACTTTCTAAATGGTTCTCTTGCATTCTAAAGCCTGTATAAAGCAAAGGATAAGAGGATACAGGACTGGGAGCACCCAGCTGGGGGCTGGTTCGATAGAGGTCATTTCCCACTTTGTGTTTAATGTCAATGACAGGCATTTGAAAAAGACAATCCATATACGCCAATAAAAGTGAGTGGAAAAGAAACCGCTGCTTAAAATGTCAAACTCTTTCAAATCAAAACAAAAAACCTAATAATTTAATAAGTGGCATCTGCCCTTTCGTTTTTGTACTTTTAAAACTGTGGCTCTCCTTTTGACAACAGAGAAAAAAGTTGACATTTTATATCTGTGCCTGAATCTTTGCTGCTAAAAGAAAATAGAACTGAAATAGAATTTAGGGTCTTTCTGGAAGGGAGTAAGAGATGAAGAGGAGCACACAGCAACAGGACTATTCACATAGAGTCCTAAACTAGTACCATAGTAGGTAGTTTTAGTCTATGGTGGAAGTCAATCTGGTTAGCTTTGTCAATCAAAACTTCCAGGCCTTTGTGGCTTATTGGCATGGCTGAATCAATTGAGATGAATAGGCAGTAAGGACATGGACATGATTGTTAGATGCATGTCTTAGTCTTACAGTAAAACTCAGCCTTGGCCTGCTCTTTCATAAATGTAGGATGGGCGGGTGAGAGAGTATAGCTGCCTCGATACCTTCTCATTCTCACTTCCTGTGAAAGTAATACAAAATACTTGTTCTGTAGCTTGCTCAGGATCTGCCTCTAGCTGTAGAGGACTTTTATTCCACAATAAAATTACCAGCAGATGCTCAAAGGAAATCTGGATGGAAACCTCAATGACTGATTTCCTAGTAGTATCTAAAAAGGAGGTGGAGAAATGTAGACGACATTGTTATAGCCTGGGTAGCAAAATCATTCTGTTTCAGAGAAGCACAAGTTCAGGACCCACACATGGCCCCTTACTTACTGATTTTTAAATTATAAACTAGGAGGAAGTAACAGTAGGAAAAGTGGTTATAGGAATGAAGAGATTTGGAGAAGTGTTTTGATGCTTATGCACCATTGCTAACTCAAAATCAAATTACTGCACTTGAAAGGAAATGTACCAAGGTGGTCACCTCTAAGGATATTCTTATGGATGATTTTTCTCTTGTATCTTTACAAATTCTGTGCAGCAAATATGCCCTAAATAGCATTAGGGAAATGGCATTAATAGAAATTTAAAACACTGCTTACCACTTTGAGGATTCAGAATGTGATGCTTATTCAAGGACCAGCCTCCTAGGTTAGAAGCATCCATCTCAAAACCTTGCAAAACAACTGTCCTTTGCTCCCAGAGAATAAAGTCAGGGCATGTCTCATATTCATATCCCACAGACACTGCAAACAAGGAGTTAATAGCATATCAGAAAATTGTCAAATATTTGCTTCATGTTCACAATGCTTCCTAAATCTGTGGAATTTGTCTGTATTACTGACTTCTAATTTGGGTTTGAGATTTGACCGCAAATATGTTCAGCTACCACAGTACAACTTCACACCAAGGATACCTTACCCAAAAGTGATCAGCAAGTGGCTCATGTTGGGTAAATGTGTGAAGTGAATGAATGAATGCTGTCATTTGGTGCATACCATATGTTTGTGAATGTTAAGCTTTATTCTAGGCTTCTGAGTTGGAGGTTGTGCTGCAAAACTGAAGAGAGAAGCTCTCTACAGGATGAAACTGTGATAGTATAATTTATCCCTACCTTTATAAGAAACGTATAGTAAAGGCTGATTTCTTAATTGTATAGAGTGCAAAATGCACTCAGAAAACTGACTTTGGAGTATTAAGTCACTTTTGCAACAACTGACTAAACATGAGACTAATCTACATTGATTTGGCTAATTTATATTTTTTCTGTGCTAGCTGGCCTTTAGTTTGCTGAGAAGACTGACTTTGCTTTGAATGCTGCAAGTGTAAATTCCACTTTGTGCACATTATGTTTTGGGCTCTGCATATAGCTAACCAATGAGACATTGCCAAACATTTGGCTTCAGCTCCTACAAAGCACAGATGTTGTGCATTAAACTTGGAACCCTGGTGTGTTGCTAAAATGGGAAATGTAGACTGTGGTGTCTTGGGTGTCTGTACCCTATTGAAATATATATATAGCCCATGCATACCAAATCCTAGCCATTTTCCCAGTTGGTAAACCCACTTACCTGTTGGAACCCCAGACTTCTGCTTCCTAAATTTAGGATGCTTTCCCTATCTTCATAACATTTTGAGCCGGAGGGCATTCACCCAGTACACTACATAGCCCCAAACTTCTCCTTCCTTTCTTCGGCTTCCAATGATCCTAGTTGGTCTGTCATCTTCCACTTTGAGCACTTAACTTTATCTGACTCTATTTTTTTTACTTTTTGTTTTTTAAAGAGATTACAAATTAGAACTAAAATAGAAAAAAATTGCAAATGATACAGAATTTCACGGAATAAAATAATATGAATTCCATAGTACTTGTTTAAGACATAGTGTCATCTTCCAACCAGTTATTCATACTACCAGATATGTGCATGCAAAATTGGAAGAAGAAAGAAAAAAAACAAAAACGTATAAGAAATTAAGAACAGAAAAAGTACAAACAGTTGAAAAAAGGAGACAAAACAAATTAAGTATTGTCACTGTTTAGGTTTTTCTAGAGAGCTCAGTTCTTCCTTTGTCATTTGGTTATGAGACTTGATAGTGAAAGCAGGTTTTTAAACAATAGCAACATAATAGATCCAAAAATTACAAAATGGAGCAAACTACTTTTGGTTTTAGGTGAAGGGAAAACTGATCATTTTAGTCAAACTGATTTGTATCTTCATGTCCATGGGTGTGCAAGTGCACAGACACAGATCAGCCAAAAAGTTTTTGTGATTAGAAATACACTCTTGGGGCCAGGGAGATAGCTCAGTGGCATAAATGTCTGCCTGCCAAGTGCAAGGTTCTGAGTTCAATTCCTGGTACAAAAACCAAACCAAAACAAAAACCCAAAATAAATGCACAACTCTTTAACTGTGAATCATGTACAACCAATTTTAAATTTCAGGCTACATTGCCTTTCCCTTCAACTCGGCCAGAGCTTATAGTAGGGATCAAGTTGGTCCATGCTCAGAAGGGCCCCATGCTTGCCTTGATGCTCTAATGCCAGCATCATGCAGGATTCTCTCTATTTTCATTCACTGGGCCCTAAAAATCATAAAGCTAGTCCTGATGTGATGCACTTCTGTCAGCCATCAGCTGGTAAAGACTCATGGAACAGAAACTCATTTTCATATTAGTCTCCATCAGTCATTATCAATGAAGATCAATGGAAAAGGAGTAGGAAGCATAAAACGGAATTAATTTCTAACTAGAAATTATTTTGGGATCATCTTCCCAATGCTAAGATGGGTAGAAACAGGATCTCAGAGATGAAAGGCATCTCAGAGGTAATGTAGTTTGGATTATACTCATGGCACAAATCAAGGCTGTCTATAGTCTATCCAGTCTCTCACCACAGCCTCTACTTGCTAAAACACCTTGAATTAGTTGGTTTTAGATTAGGAGACAGAACAGACTTTGTCTTTTAGATATGTCTTCAACTAGCAGTGTGGGTGCAAAGGAGTTGCTCTCCATCTCTGTGAGTTGTGTTTTTTGTTGGCAGCAAGATGATGACAGGGTAACCAAAAATGCTGATTCTTAGACCCTTTTGGTGACACTTTATTGTGAATCTGGTAAAAGTTATGACAATTCTTTTTAGAAAAGAATAAACTCACAAAGAATTTTGTGTATAATTCTAGTTGATTCATTGATCTCATGAAATTCAAATAAAATTCTCAGATTAAATAGTGCTGTACTGGATAATTCTTTTCATTCCCCTTTAGCACTAAAACTCTATGATTGTAAATTTTATTCACTTTAGATTGCATTTTATAAATTTAAGTTGAGGGTTAAATCCAAAAACCAAGCAGAACACTGTATCTCATGTTGGAAAATGAGATTGCACATTAAGGGCAATGTTGGTGTGTAGATTAACACAGTTTCTGCTCCTCTTGCCAGGCATTTAAAAGTCTTGATTAATAAATAATCAGAACAACAATAATTACAAGTTCCCTTAAAGCCATCATCTCCTTCTCCACAGTATGTCTGGCAATTACTCGATCTGCCTTCTGTACACTGTAAGCCTGTTGAGCTCCCTGAGAATCCCTTCCCCGGAAGGTGATTGCACAGTTTTGCAAATAAGTAGTGTGCCCTGGTGACCTCTGATGGTGGATTGGAGCCTGTTTTTTCCCTCTCAGTAACAGTTAAAGATCATCCTAACTCAGTAGCAGGAAATGCTTACATAAAGCATCAATTAAAGAGTTCTCAATGCAATGGTAATGAGATATGCCTACTCTTTTCATCTCCTTCTATTTGTTCTCTGAATTGCTCTCCAGTCCACAACAAAAAAGTGCATTGGCTGCAAACCCCACAATTATATTACTTTTTTCTCCCCAGTCACAGCAAATAGCAACAAGGCAACCACTTAATAAGCTCCTTCTAATTTTTATTAGATTTACTTTCTCCTGAGAAAGCTCTATGAGCTAATAAAGTTATAATTTACACTTAAGACTTGTCCAAAATTTCAACTGACTTTAGTGAGAATGGCTATGTGTTGGGGATATTTTTGTATGGGTCTCCTTGCTCAGAGTAACAAGACAAGGTTTCTGAGAACAGCCTACTTTAACATAATCCTAGAACTTGCAGTCGGTTGATGAAAAGGCAGAAGTTTCACTCTGTGGACTTGAGCTGCTCTCCAAATACAGAGAGAAGTGAAAAGTGCAGGAGCAACCAACCCTAGATTCATGGAAACAAACTACAATGCACTAAATACCTACAATTTTTCTTTTTCTTTTTTTCTATATTTTAGGGAAGAGTCTAACAGGGTGTGCAGGGTCTCACTACTAGATCGGACTTGTAGTGATTCTCCAGTTTACAAGAGCTGGGATTACAGGTATGCATCACTCCAATCCCAAGAGCTGGGATTACAGGTTTGCACCACCACACCTAGTCTCAGTTGATGTTTCAGCGCACTCTGGGGGTGGGGCTGGCATGGCAGGCCCAGGGAATCGAAGTCCCAGCCCCTGAGTCTGCTTGAAGGCACTTTAATCTGCTGAGCTATTTGGCCAGCCTTCCTACAATTTTTCTTTTAATTAAATATGAGGGGAAAGGTTTATAACATGACTGGTGCTTAAAATACTGAGCCTTGACACACACACTGCCTGATACTGCAATAGCTGTGGTTCAGCTAAATAAGTAGAATGGGCCACTACCATTTTTCAGCCATCCTGTGCCTATCATCTCTGATTAACAACACAGAGTGTTATGAGGCACTGGACTGGGGACTGAAAGACTAGTTTAATAGGAAGGAAAACATAATTCATCAATGTTTCAGTGAAGTCAGAGGTGCAGTCCTATGAGTAGGTGGCAAAGCCCTTTGCAAAAGGAACATGTGGCTCTTGCCAATAACTCTTGGCTAAGGAGAAGTCTCATTAATATCTCTCTGATGAAGTGAGGGAGAGAATGCAGGTGTCAAGAATCAAGAATTAAGGACATCACCAGGAGGTGTTCCCATGGCTCAGAGAATGTATGTTTTGCTATTAACTCTCTGCCTTCCCACTATGTCAGCCCCTGGGAAGTGCAGCCCAGGATCCCTTTGCTCCCCTTTCCTGTTCACTGTCAGTCTAGTTCCCCTTTTGCATTTCCTCCGAACTGAAAATATTGCACTTGTTTCTAAAGAAGATAGGGTGAAAGACTGTAGCTTGCTCCTGAAGCCACTTAACATAGGAAAAATAACTGAAAGCTCATCCATACTTATTCAAGCATTTGAATGACAAGGGGACTGCAAGAAGGCTGAGGGCCATGGTGTCCCTGACATCCAGTTTAATGACTGTTCCATTTATCTATAAAAGCTTGGGTAAGAGATAGACATTAAATAGCCAAGGTACAGATGCCATGCAATGAAGCTGATGTGTGAAATATGAAAAGATTAAGCAGATGATTTTTCAATAGCTTAAGGCTAATGCTTCAGAATCATAATGGTTTCATTTATTAAGGCAATATATAATTAAAAGTAGTCTATCTGATAAAGTAGTCAGTGTTAGAAATTTACATGCTATCTTCCTAAACTTAAGGGACATCTAAAAGTAATTTCATGACATGTGAGAGGTCACTAATAACATGAAAATAATTTTTTTCCAAAAGGAGTCATTAAAATATAACAACAAACATTTCCTATGATTTTAAAATGTTGGCTTAATCAAAATCCAAAAACAGTTACAGAAGACAAATGACCTAAAGAAACAAATGCTGGCTGTGCCAACATCAGACC